AGGGTTGCGATCCATTGCTGGACACGGAAAAAGACAAAAGACAAAAAAAAAAAAAAAAAAGAAATATTAATGGAAAATCATACATAAAAGTTATATTATCCAAATATAAAAATACAATCTTATCAAACTCCTGGGCCTGCATTGTTTTAACTATTGCTCACAACAAGCAAGCAGCAAATTATGGTTGAAGGTGATTGCTACTTTCGTTCTACTATTTTACCCTATGCTAATAGATTAAAACAGAAACATCATTGGGGGTTAAGCATTTTGAGAAGATGGCTATCCTTACCTGGTATTATTCGGTAACATCATGACATCTTAATAAAACATGAGGTACCTTTTTCACTCTCTAGAGATCAACAAAAGTTTCCTTGAATGATTGAGATGTTGTTAAAAGCCACATGTGAAAACACTTTGCAAATAATTCCTCAGGTAGCTTTTCTGAATTCTGAAAGACTAAGATAACTCTCAAAATCTCAACAGAGGGAAAGAAAATACTTCACACTTGCTGTTATTGTCTCTTTATAAATGTACTTTCTGACAGAAAGTAAAGTGAGAATACTCACAGTATTTGGGAACTGATTTTAAAGCCAATTACTAGCGAGAACTTACAAGATCTTTTTTTATGGTGCATATTTATTTCATAAATCAATATCATTCACTGAAAAAAGAAGTCTTAAATGTCTACATAATGTTCACAATATTATATATGTATGCAAATTAGAGTTTGTCAAAAATACTCACATTAAACATTTTCCAATTACTGCCTTACTTTAAACAAGAATCTTATAAAAAATTTTTTAAAAGTCTCAAAAAAAGTATCTTATAAAATCTTGAAATGCATTAGTTAGAAAGAAAGGTACAATAATGAAAAATTAAGCCTTCATGGGTTCTCATACTTTACTTCCTGGAAATGAGCAAAAAGTGAACTTCATTGGTTTATCCCAATGTCCCCTGGCCACACATGCACAAAAGGAACTACTCTGTCAGTCATTAACCCCTGACCACAAAGAGAANTGGCCACACATGCACAAAAGGAACTACTCTGTCAGTCATTAACCCCTGACCACAAAGAGAACTTCCATATCTTGGGGTTTGGCCAACATTTTCAGAAAGAACTAAGATGTGCAAATGGAAATTACACTCACAGTTTTGTTTTGTTAAAGTTTGGAGTGAGAAGTCTTTGGTGAGCAGAAAGAAAAGGTTAACGACTTTTAATATGCAAGATTGTCAGTTATGCATTACTCACATCTCATGTGAACTATGTAATGTCAATGTTGTCAGAAAAGCCTGGCAGAAAAAAATAAGTCCTAACGTTTTAATTTCTTAGGAGTAAGGAGAATCCCTGGAAGATTATTTTCTCCCTCTAGAGCACTTTAGTTTTGCTCAAACATGCATTTTATAATTCCTAATTTATATTCAGCAGCATTGCTCTCTCTCTGGCTTTCAGACCTTACAAGTTTCTCCATCTGAAACTTCAAAGATTTTTGTTGTTGCTATTCTCTAGTTAAAATTGGTAATTCCCACTTCATTCCAAAGGAGCAGGAGACCTTGAAAAAGATGTGTGTGGTCAACCTCTCTAGATAAAAATTATTATTGCCGAACAGTGGTAATATCTATTATATGAGGGTGCAGAAGCTGTGCTAAGCATATACAAAAGTACTCCAAAAACATCTAGGAGAAATAGAATTAAAAGATAATACAAATCTTTCCATGAATCTTTTGAAGTACCCTCATATCTGTGTCACCCCATTTACTTCTTGTAGCCCTAAAATGGCCAAACTAAAGCTTGAAGGCATTAAGAAAATTTTCCAGGGTCACAAGTAACTAAATTTCTGAGACTCATACATTTTATCAATCCCAAAGAATGTAGAATTAATTTATTCAATTATTTAACAAATGTTTTCTAGCAGACTACTAAGAACCAGGCTTAGAATTAGCTGTGAAAATACAAACTCGAATAAGGTTTGACTTCTGACCTCAAAGACCTTACATTCTAGTTTGGAAGAGAGACCATTAAATAAACATACAGTGTTCACAGCTCTAAGTAGTCAAACTGACACGGGAGCCCTGAATGACATAAAATTGAAAGTATTGTCTTCTATTTAATAAATTTTATAACAGTATCAGGTAGAAAACACTTGGCAAGCCT